GTCAATGACATGAAGTTTGCCGGTACCATACACTGAAAAACAGCCTCTGTCTTTTTTTTTTTTGTTTATAGTGCAAAAAATAAAAACTGCAGTGGTAATCAAATACCACCAAAAGAAATCTGTATTAGTGGGGAAAAAAATTACAATATTATTTGCATACAGCATTGCATGACCGCCCAACTGTCAGTTAATGTAACGCAGTATGTCATTGTCTGACGGCTGCCAGACTGACTATCCCCCACCATTGGGGAATGCATTGTGTTCTGACCCTTCTAGAGTGGGTCAAGGAGATGGATCATATTAAATGCATGGAGTCACTCCTGGCGCAGGAATTGGGCACTTACGAACGCTGTCACCAGACCTGGCTCCCCTGGAATATACAGTTGTGTTCAAAATAATAGCAGTCAGACATCACTAACCTGATCAATCACTGTTTTTGGTAGAAATTATATTTCTACATGACAAATAATTTACTAGCAGGTGTAGTAGAGTAATAGAAATCCAACAGACCCAACAGTCATGACATGCATGCTGCTGATTCTGTGTAATTGAATCACTAATTGAAAGGGGCATGTTCAAAATAATAGCAGTGTGGAGTTCTATTAGTGAGGTCATTCATTCTTTGAAAAACAGGTGGCAATTATTGCCCTTATTTAAGGAAGGAAGGCAGCAAATGTTGTACATGCTGGTTACAGTGCATTTCTCTCTGAAAATTCTGAGGAAAATGGGTTGTTCCAGACATTGTTCAGAAGAACAGCGTACCTTGATTAACCTCCCTAGCGGTATTCCCAAGTGTAGCTCGGGGTAAAATGTCAGTGCCAAAAGCGGTAACCCTGAGCTACACTCGGGCTTACCATGCAGCGCTGCATAGTGAGTCCCTGCAGAGCTTACCTTGTCCTTCGCTCCCGCGATGTGTCCCCTGCAGCGTCCCCGGCCATCTCCTCCGGCCGATGCCGGCATCCGGCTTCTGTGTACCGGTCCCTGTGACGTCGGGACGTACGGGCGCCGCCGGTGGCGGTGGGAAATTTGAAAATTTTAAAAAATGTCATTTTTTTCAAAACAAATTTTTCATAGTAAAACATTGCTGTTTCAACCCATTTCACATACATATTGTCCCTAGTGCTTTGTCCTGTGCCCTGCCTGCATTTTGTCTGTTCTTTCTGCCTGGAAACTGAGAAACGTCCATGGCGTCCAAAAAGTGTCCCTTTAGGTCAAAAGCGGGTTTGGACCAGCTAGAGAACAGCGATAGTAAATCAGAACCACTTGCAGAATTGAGTGATAATAATTTGTGGGGAAATTTGTCATCAGACACTGAAAACGATTTTGCGACTTTGCTCAGCAATGTATGAACTTGGTGCTCTATTTCAAATTTCAGTGTTTTCGGTTTGATTATATTATTGAATTAAATGTATTATTATTATATTATTTTTTTATGATTATTTATTAAATTATAATTTATGATTTCGTGTTTCAAATTTTATCATACCCGGAATGTTTAATAGACTCTTGTTCGGACAGATTTCAGTGAGTTATTCCTAAAAATTACAGCCTACAATAAAAAAACTACATATTTCCATGCAAAATAATGGTACCGCTTTCAGCACCAAAAATCTGAAATAATCATATCGTCAGGGAGGTTAAAAAGTTGATTGGAGAGGGGAAAACATATAAAGAAGTGCAGAAAATGATAGGCTGCTCAGCTAAAATGATCGCAAATGCTTTAAAATGGCAACCAATACCTGAAAGATGTGAAAGAAAGCGAAAAACTACCATTCGAATGGATAGAATAGCCAAAATGGCAAGGACTCAGCCAACAATCAGCTCCAGGAAGATCAAAGAAGGTCTAAAGTTACCTGTGAGGACTGTTACAATTAGAAGAAGCCTAAGTGAAGCCAAGCTATCTGCAAGAAGCCTCCGCAAAGTCCCAATGTTGAAAAAAAGACGTGCTGAAGAGGTTACAATTTACCAAAGAGCACATTGACTGGCCTAAAGAGAAATGGAGCAACATTTTGTGGACTGATGAAATTAAGATTGTTCTTTTTGGGTCTAGTGGCCGGAGAGTTTGTCAGACGACCCCCAAACACTGAATTCAAGCCACAGTACACTGTGAAGACAGTGAAGCATGGTTGCGAAAGCATCATGATATGGGGATGTTTCTCATACTACGGTGTTGGGCCTATTTATCGCATACCAGGGATCATGGATCAGTTTGAATACATCAGAATACTTGAAGAGGTCATGCTGCCTTATGCTGAAGAGGAAATGCCCTTGAAATGGGTGTTCCAACAAGACAACGACCCCAAACACACCAGTAAACGTACAACATCTTGGTTCCAGACCAACAAGATTGACGTTATGGAGTGGCCAGCCCAATCCCCGGATCTTAATCCAATAGAAAACTTGTGGGGTGACATCAAAAATGCAGTTTCTGAGGCAAAACCAAGAAATAGAGAAGAACTGTGGAATGTAGTCCAATCATCCTGGGCTGGAATACCTGTTCACAGGTGCCAGAAGTTGGTTGACTCCATGTAACACAGATGTACAGCAGTTCTCAGAAACAGTGCTTATACAACTAAATATTAATTAAGGGACTCAAAGGAAAGAAAAATCTTCAAACATTTTTCAGTTTATATAGTGAATGTTTGAGTTTGTAAAGAAGAATACAAACACTGCTATTTTTTGAACAGTAATATTCCCTTTTCTTCAATTTGTTTTTAGAGGAACAACACACATTTGATATATTTTTCTTCATGTTTTGATTTGGAATAGAATGTGTAGTGTTCCCAATGCAGGAAATAAAAGTTATTAGAAGGATTTTGAGCTTTATTCACTTTTTTCAACACACTGCTATTATTTTGAACACAACTGTATACAGAGAATCTTCTGTATTACGCGACCTCTTGGCTGCTTGAACGGGAGTTTTCTTTTTTCTCTGGTCCCTAATGGTCTGTTAGGCCCTTGGGCATCTTTGCTCAGGCGAGCCTATTCTTGTTTCACCCCTTCTATCCCCCCCTTTAATCACCTTCCCTCCCCCTTTTATTTTTTCTCCCCCTGGCACTAGACTGGATAAGATAAGGCAATGGGTATCGCTAGTACACCCTGTCCTTTTTTTTTTCCCCCTGGGCTAGTCTCTGTTTTTCAAGTATGGTAAGGCCTTCCACAGTTTTATTATTACTCCCGTTGCTCTCCTTGCCTTTGCTACCTGTACTCCCTTGGGGCCCAGACTTGCCTATAATAAATATAGGCCAACTTATATGAGGCTGCAGGTTTTGTACTTGTTGTCAATTACTGCCATCATCTAGTGCCAGGGCGTTATTGTTTATTATTAACTTAACGGTTTTCCTTTTTTTCATGTTATCCTCCGCACCCCCCCCCCCCTTCTTTCTCTCTTTGCTTACTGTGGATATTATTGCGTTCCCCTTTTTTATTCTACTCCTCCTAACCCTAATTCTGTATTTTCGATTTTGTATTTTATTATTGTTAACGTCTATAAAGACGGCTTTTACCTCTCTGTTAAATTTTATAAAACCTCAATAAACTCATATTCATCATGAAGTAATGCAGCGCTGTATTGCAAAAAATGGCCTGGTCATGAAGGGGGGTAAATCCTCCGAAGGGCAAGTGGTTCACCTACTAATTTAAAAGGGAGATCAAGAATGGGGATGCGTTTTCAGGGCTGTGGCCAACGCGGGGATGAGCTTCACACCTGGTGGACCTGCCCCTGCTTAGTGGGCTTCTGGTCTAGGATCTCGCCCTTCTGTCAACCCTCTTCCATGTACCTTTTCACAAAGATGCTAGATAAGCACTTCTACACTGTCCAATTCCAGGATTTTTCTCCTATCAGCAGAAATTGGCCACGTACCATTTTATAGCTGCCAAGTGGGCAATAGCCAGAGCATGGAAAAACCCTCAGTCCAGCTAGCGTAAGTGAAGAGCATTTTGACTACCCTAATGATCCATGAGAAAATTACTAGAATTCTTCATGACACCCATTACAAATTCCTGAAGGTTTGAGACCACTGGTGGTCATATGCCCTTCCAACTCTGCCCCCGGATTGTATGGGAGCCCTGCCAGTTGCTAGCATGCAGGATTTTTTTGCTCTTTTTCCTGGCCCTTGTCCTTTCCTCTCTCTCTCTGTGCTGCTTTTCTTTCTTTGGGGCTCTCCCTGCCTTTTTCCTTTACTTCTTACCCCCCCATCCCCTTCCTCTGACATCTGCACTCCCCAAGGTTCTTGGTTTGAACCCTTTGGGTCCTTCATTTGGTACTGGCCTGGCCCTGTTAGTCTTGGTCAGTCTGTAATATTATATGTTTAAAGCATAAATTTTACTATTGTAGTTTTATTTGTTCATTTCCCCTGCGTGGGAAACAAATACTTACTTTGATATGTTTGCATTGTATTACAATAATAATTATTGTACCAGAAGAATGAGGATGCATTTCAATCTGGTATTGTTTAGTTTCATACAGTTTTATGGTTGACCCAGGTCTGTCAGCTATAGTCAGATCCCCACACTGGCTATACACAAGGAAGAGGACTTAATATCTTTCCAGAATAGGCCATAGGAGTTTACAATCGGCCACACAAAAGGGTTAAATATGGATCCAACAAATAAGCACTAGGGCTGACAAAAAAAAAAAAAAACAAAACTTGATAGACCACAGAATAAGTGTGCTGTATATGGTTTTTATATTGCATTCCATTATGAGCCCCTACTCTGCATTGCTTTCAATGTCAGCAATATCATCAAGGATGGAGACGAGGGGCCAGTGAACCACACAAGCTATTGTTGTAAGCCTTTTTTTTTTTAAGACAGCAGAGATATCTTTTTGCCCTAAGAACTGTAAAAGTATCTTTCAGGAGTTCAATGTCCTTTAGACAGCTGTGTCTGATTGGTGGTCATGGGTACCATAAACTACCGCTTACTGCATTTTAATCTTAAAAATGCAACAAAAGCTTTATTTAGATAGCAGACCCTTGCTGAAAATTAAACAGCACTCTCTAGTCTGAAAAGACCAAACAACTGAAATTGTTCCACTGTAGTAAATACACAAGTACACAACTTACTTTATCAAAACCCATAGCACAAAGGTTTTCTATTTTTCTCGTGTATTCTGGACTAGTGACAGGCGCTCCTGCATATACATGTGCCCAAAGCCGAGCTGTCTGTTTAAACATGTCTGGATTTTGCTTGTACTAAAAACAAAACAAAACAAAAAATCAGTAAACAAAGTAATCAATTTAAAAGTGCTTTTTTTCACTTTAAAAAACTAGTGGAAAGTCCCTCTCTATGCTTAGCTAATAAACCACAAATGCTTTCACATACTAAATGGCAGCTAGGTGTGTGTCAGGACAATGTCCAGTCTCTGAACACTGTCACAGCTGTGGAAGCTTTTCAATAAACATCTATTATCTACTCTTTAACCTTCACATTTTTTTATTATTATACAGGATTTATATAGTGCCAACAGTTTGCGCAGCACTTTACAATATAAGGGAGAAAGTACAATTACAATACATTTCAGTACAGAACCAGTGAGGAGGGAGCTGCAGTAATCAAGGCGGGATAAAACCAAGGCGTGGATGAGTTGTTTTGTGGTGTCATTGGTCAGAAAGGGGCGGATTTTGAAAATGGTCTGGAGGTTGAGACGGCAGAATTTAGCCAGTGATTGGATGTGGGGCCCAAAGGAGAGGTCAGAGTCTAGGATTATGCCTAGCACCCTGGCATGAGGGGAAGGACCAGTGGTTGTGCTGTTGATGTTAATGGTAAAGTCGTGAGTGGGGAGGTCGGGGGAGGGGGGGAGGAAGTTTTGGAAAGATTGAGTTTAAGGTAGTGGTGTGACATCCATACTGATATGTCGCTCAGTAGATTTGTGATACGTGAGGAGGTTGAGGGGGTGAGCTGGGGAGTGGAGAGATAGATCTGGGTGTCATCAGCATGGAAGTGGTATTGGAAGCCATGGGAGGTTATCAATTGGCCCAGGGAGGAGGTGTAGAGAGAGAAAAAGGAGAGGCCCAAGGACAGAACCTTGGGGTACCCCAATGGAAAGAGGGAGAGAAGCGGAGGAGGAGTTGTATGTGACACTGAAAGTGCGCTGAGAAAGGCAAGAGGAGAACCAGGAGAGAAGCAGAGTCATGGAGGCCGATGGAGTGGAAATTTACTGAGGAGCAGAGTGTGGTCAACTGTGTCAAAGGCAGAGGAAAGGTCAAGGAGTATGAGTATGGGGTAATGGCCATTGGTTTTAGCAGTTTGTAGGTCGTTAGTGAGTTTTAGTAGGGCAGTTTCAGTGGAATATTGTGGGAGGAAGCCAGACTGTCGGGGATCAAGAAGGTTGTTGTTGTCGGTGAGAGTAGCAGTTGATACGATTGTGAACAAGGCGCTCGAGAAGCTTGGAGGCAAACGGGAGCAGGGAGATGGGTCTTAAGTTATTCAAACAGGTGGAGTCCAGCGAGGGGTTTTTTTTGAGTATGGTGGTAACCAGTGCATGTTTGAGTGGGGAGGGAAAGGTGCCCATGGAGAGTGAGAGGTTGAGGATGTGGGTTAGAAAGTTTAGGATAGAGCAGGAAGGAGGCTGCAACAGTCTTGAGGGGACAGGATCCAGGGGACAGGTGGTAAAGTGGGCCTTGGAAAGGAGTTCAGTAACTTCCTTGGTGGTAACAGGGTCAAAGCAGGAGAGTGTTGAGTGTGGTGTTGGGCCTAGTATGCTGGTTGAAGGAGGAAGCTTGACACTGGAGATCTTGTCACAAATTGTGTAAATGTTGTTCTTGAAATGACTGGCAATCTCCTGTGAGGTAAGTAAGTTGGAGGGTTTAGGCAGTGGGGGGTGGAGTAAGGAAATAAGGGTAGAAAAGAGTTGACGAGGATTGGATGAGAGGGTCTTGATGAAAGTGTTGTAGTAGGTTTGCTTAGCAGCGTGGAGGCTGGAGTTGTATTTGAGAAGAGCGGATTTGTAGAGGGTCAAGTCTTTCAGGGATTTAGTTTTAAGCCATGCTCGCTCAAGAGTGCGGCTGCGTCTCTTGAAACTTATGGTGTCATCTGTTTGCCAGGGTTGTGACAGGCGAGGCCTGGTTCTGCGTGTAGAGAGAGGAGCAAGGGCGTCCAGGGAGAATGATAGATAGTTGTTGTAGGCAGATGTGGCCAGGTCTGGGTAGGACAGGGGTGCAATTTTATCATAGAGGCACTCAGTAGCAGAGTGAAGAAGGTCAGGACTCAGGTGGTGGAGGTTTCTACAGGTAATGGTTTGGTGGCTGGAGGCATGGGAGGTAGGAGGCAGGGAGAGTGTGAAGCTGAAGAAGTTGTGATCAGAGAGATGAAAAGGGGTGTTAGAGAGGTTACAGGGAGTGCATACGTGGCAGAATACAAGGTCGAGGGTGTTGCCATTGGGAGTGGGTGGTGGATTGTGTTAGGTTGAGTAGTTGAGAAGTGGTGAGAAGTGGCTGAGGTGTGAACATTGACTGGGATGTTAAAGTCACCGAGAATTATGGCAGGCACCTCAGAGGAGAGAAAGTAAGGTAGCCATGCCGAAAAGTCATCAAGCGTGAAACTGGGCCCGGAGGCCGGAAGATGACTGCGATCCTCAAACAAACAGGAGAAAAGAGATGAATACAGCGCACTTCAAAAAGAGCAGAGGGACAGAGACGGAGGGGCAGGAAGAACCTGGAACGTGCTTTGTGGGGAAAGAAGTCTGACTCCGCCCCCTTTTTGTCCACTGGGTGTGGGTGAGTGAGTCCAGAGGAGGCCACCATGAGAAAGTGCAGCTGAGGAGACAGAGTCGGAATCCTGGAGCCAGGTTTCAGTAACAGCAAGAAGGTTGAGGGTGTGGGAGAGGAAGAGGTCATTGATAGTAGAAAGTTTGTAAGAGGCTGAGCGGGCATTCCAGAAGGCACATAAGAGGGAGGGGCTGGCACCTGGAAGCAGGGGAATTGAGATAAGAGAGTGAGGGTTGCCGCTGAGGCAAGAGAGGGGAGGCTACTGCTTTGGTGGGTTGGAGTTTGATGGTGGAGGGCCAGGGTTTGGGGCGATGTCTCCGGAAGTTAGTAGTAGTAATAGGAGGGTGAGGGAGGTGAGGTGGGGGCGGGATTCATATGAGGGCAAATGCCGCAGTGATTTTGTAGTGGTGACATTATGTGGACCAAGACATTATGTGGACCTGCATACTTTTGCGACAACAAGGACAGCCTAGTTAAAAAAAAAAAAAAGTATGGCCAAAGCTTTTTTGGTCATAATTCTCTTCTAGGTCACAGGAGAGGACTTACTTGCTAAAATCCGCCCCCAGCAGACATTGCAGAGCCACTCCAGGCTCTTTAAGAACCCTGACCATATTGTTGGCATCTATCCAGATGCCAAACCTCCTGCTAGCTCAGCATTCCAGTGAGTGCAGGAGAGGCAGAGCAGAGAGCGGTGAATGACAGTCACCACTCTCTGCTCCAGGAAGACCAAGAACTAAACAATCAACAGTCAAGTGATCTCTCAGTTCTCAGGCTTAGAGCTGACCGGGGGTTGATGCTGCAGCATGTTGGTATGTATGGTTGTTCTATTTTTGGATCTTGATCAAGAAAAGCATATTCAAGTAGAGATTTTCCTCTCAACTTCTTCAAAGAAGAACCATCAACCTGAGAGGGTAACTGTGGCGATATTGAAAGAAACAGCTACAGGAGCATCAAAGTTGGGTTGGCACCATACTGCCAGAATCATGGAATGTACTCCAGATGCCACCAACGCATGGGTTTGTATTAAAATTTACATGAAGGTGAAAGCTTAGCAGTTACCGCATATAAAGGGGTGCCCATAAACGCAACATGGAAAGACATAATGAGCCTTACCTGATTGGCAACCACGGCGTCCTGTGGATCATCTGGTTCTGCTGCAGCCAAGAGAGCTTGCAACGATAACAGCACTGTTCGTAACGTCATGGCTGCCGCCCTGAGGACAAGAGAGACACATTTTCTTTTACCAGACACAGTGTTCCATTTAGTTTACCAACATTCCTCATTTATTAAGAATTCAATGTGCACTTTGAAGTGTACTCTGTTTACTTGGATAGGCATTACATTGAAAATATTATATTCTATATCTCTATGAAGAAGAGAAAAAACCCAACAAGCTCTGCCTAACTGTGTTAAGAAAATGTAATAAAAAATAAAAGCTGGGTGACTACTTCTCTTCCTCCTCTTGTCACATCTGTCAAAAGCGTAGGTGGGCCCAGAAACAGAATGACAGCTACTCCCTCCAAAATGATCCTAAAGTGTATACGTGGACTAAAAGTATTTTAAAACGTGAATACGTTTTGTAGCACCTGTCAGCCCTGATTTGCAGGTCATAAGATAAGTAAAGAATGAGCTGCCTTTGTGGTCTGGCCTGCCCCCACATGTACTTTACTATATGCCAATTCCTGTGATAGGCAGCATCACTAACCAACACGGATACCAAGGAGGAAGGGCTAGAGTCACATCATGTGTACTGGTTTTCTGGGTTCTTAGGGTAATCTAGAAGAATGTGCAGCTGACATGAAGGCACCTAGAGATGCCTCTTATGGAATATAGGAGCAGATTTAGTAAAGTTACGAAGGCCATTTGCTTTAACCACTTGCTGACAGTCCACAGTACTTGGGGGCCCGGTGGTCATGTTGCTGCTATGCGATCACATGATCACAATGTCAACAAAGCAGTTATAAATTAATTCATTCATAAGAGCTGTATTTCCTATGCTGTGATTGGCCCAAAGCTCTTATATGGTACCTGGGCTGATTATAGCACCCTGTACCATGTTATTAGCTGTAGCCAATCACAGCTCATGAATTTAACCCATTCATGACAGTTGAAAACTTTGCTGTTACAATATTTATTGTAACAGCAAACAAAATGTGTTAAAAAAAATAAATAAAAGGAATTCCAAGATAACACCCCCCCCCCCCCCCCAGAGTAGTACAGTGTTATTATGGCGACACTGAACTACTGAAGTATGAAAAAAAAAAAAATGCTTAAGAAACTGATTTTTTTTTTTTTTTTTACTGTTACCAGGCAGTGTCCCTGATCACTGCCACATCAATCATATGATCATGCTGTACTGCACTGGTGACAGTTTGTTAAAGCGTCGGTCCAGTCAAAACTAAAAAACATAAGTCAGCAGCTACAAAAACTGTAGCTGCTGACTTAAGAAACAGACACTCACTTGTCCCTCACACCGGCCGGACTACCCGGCCGTCCTGTGTCCCTGGCGCAAGCATCTTCAGTGTGGGCACCCAGCTGTGACAGCTTGTGGCTTCACAGCTGGGTGGTCACTGTGCATGCACGAGTAGTGCTACACTTTGTGAATGATCCCATATTCTTCTGTCCCAATCGCCTAGGCGATCGCAGTGGAAGTGAGAGAGTGGGTACCTGTCATATTCGGGTACCCCTCGCCCCCCGCTCCCCAAAAGTGCCAATCCTTAGCATGGATCAGGGGATGAAGCCTTAAAGCGGAACTTCCCTTTTTGTGTGAGAAAAAAAATTTTAGGCAATTTCTTCATATTCAAAGAAATTGTGACAAAAAATTACGACTTCAAAAAAAAAAAAAAAAAAAAAAAAAAAAAAAATAGCCATGCTCCTTACTAAACACCTTGGACTGTCTACTTTCCGAAAAATTGTTCCTTTGTGGGGTATTTGCACTGTCCTAGCATTTTAAGGACTCAAGAAAGGTGGCCGTCAGCACGTCAGAGTTTACTAATTTTCAAACATATATATATTGATTTCATTGGATATGAATTATGACAGAAAATAAAAAATATTGGTCTCTTTCCGTTTAAATCACAGAAAAAAAAAAAAAAAAAAAAAAAAAACAGTGGTGATCAAATATCATCAAAAAGAAAGCTACATTTGTGTGAAAAAAAAATGATAAAATGTAATTTGCGTGCAATATGGCATGACCACGCAATTGCAAGTTAAAGTAACGCAGTGCTGAATAGCAAAAAATGCCCTGGTCATCAAGGGGGTGAAATCTTCTGGAGCTCAAGTGGGGCAAAGAAAGTAGACAAAAAATTATTTCATGTCTTAAAAATCAGCTTCTTTGCATTAGGGCAGAAGCCAAGATAAAATGTTGTGCTAGGAAATATTTATAGATACAGACAGCTCTGTCAGTAGAGCCCATAGAAGTGTTCTGGCTAAGGCCCAAGTTTCTTTCACTATAAAACAGCTATTTTTGTTTCAAACTTTTATCCAGCCCATCAGTACACTACTCACATCCGGGGGATGTCATCTTACCACTGGTCTTTCAAAATGTCCAAACATATAGCTCCGGTTACTGAACTAATATTCGGATGCCAGATTTTTGTAATAAACCGCACCTAAAAAAAAACACAAATGAAGTTAATGACAGCACCATAGATAAAGGTCACCAAACAACAAAGTGTACTTGTATCTCATACACAGCAGAGATCTGCAAAGAACCAATATTCTGAAGAGTAAGGGAAATAAAACAAGGTGGTGACTAGGAAAACCTAGGTCTAAAGGTCTGTTGTGACTAAATATTCCAGACGTTACATGTGAAAACAGAAACAAACATCTGATGTTTTGTAAATCTGTGAAAAGGCTAAAAATTAGTTTGTCCTAACAGATAGCGCTCAACTGGACCTTGTGCACAGCTGCAGAAGGGGACAATAAGGGAGCCAATCACTGGCTCTAGCTGAACACGGGTTTCACCCATTGTCAGTGCCCATGTGACCTAATGTCAGGGCTGTACTCAACACCAGCATTAGCTGATTGAGAAGACAACTTGACTAATCAGTTTAGGATATAGAAAGCAAGATAGGGGATGGAAAACTGCCTAGGCCTAAAACAAGGTTTAAAGTCCACTTAAAGTGATATCTGGATTTTTATTCAAAAATAAAAACAAACATTTTATACTTACCTGCTCTGTGCAGTTGTTTTGCCCAGAGCAGCCCCGATCCTCCGTCGGGTCTACTGTTGGGTGATTCTAGATACTCCCTCTTGATCATTTTCCCCAATAGCAAGCTGCTTGATATGTGGGCACTGGTATGTGCTTGCTCCTGAGCCCTGCCCTGTCTCAGCCAATGAGGAGAGGAAGACCCGAGAAAGCCGAGACTCCCATGCACATCGATGGATTGAGAGGAGGCTCTCAGGTGATTAAGTTGTCGTGGGGAGAGCAGTACACAGAAGAAGTTTTTACCTTCATGAATAGAATGCATTAAGGTAAAACAATCTTCAGCCTTTACAACCACTTTAATAGGATTAGTGCATTTTACAGTTTACATACGTAAGCACCTAAACACAGTCACAAATGCAGAAAGTACAGCGAGTCATCCCACTAGTGTTCTCTGAGAACACATTATATTCAATGGCCACCTCTGGTGTATGCCAGTTTGTAAGCACCGAGATTTCTATAAATATACCATATTTAACCAGCTGCCGACCGCAGATAGCCGAATGACGGCTACACTGCGGCCGGCCAGTTCTGGGAGGGCGTCATAGGACGACCTCCCAGAACGCGCTCAGGGGGCGCGCACCCAGCGATCTCCTACGGACACAGCTGATCACGTGATGTGGTAAAAGGCCAATCACAGCGGCTTTTTACCATGTGATCAGCCATGTCCAATGACACGCTGATCACAGGGAAATGCAATTGCCGCTTCTCGGCTGCACTTTCCTCATGCTGTCAGAACGTGGGGAAAGGCAGGCAATGGCTTTCAAGTCGCTATTACAAAGAGTAGCGAACCTTCAACCCATTCACTTTTTTTAAGCTCTTATGATCAGACCAAGTTTAGCAGTATAAGAGAACTAGAAAGACATACAGATGCAAAAAGCACCCTGGCATCATGAAGGGGGTTAAGCATTTACTTTCAGCTCAGTGGTGGCACTTGTGACATTCCAATAAGGGTGTGTGATCCTTCCCAGTGCACCCCAGTGGCTGACCATTCAGAGCACCTCAGTGGTATGAATGCAGAGGTAAAACTAATTCGTAAATAATATATATTTTTAGAGCGGTAGTAAACAACCCGCAAAAAATCCTAAATAATGGGCCCCCTGCAGTGTTGCGTCATATTGTACTAGTATGCAATGCATACTAGTACATTATGACAGACTTACCTGTACATGGAGCCCTCCAGCGCGGCACCATCACGATTCCCCGGTACCACCATCTTCACCCGGTCTTCCGGGTTCGCGGGTTCCGGCAGTATGAATGGCCGGAGCCGCGATGACATCACCCTTTGCACATGCGTGTGGGAGCACTTGGCTGCGGCACAGAGCTCTGAAGGGACGGCACGCTGTCCTGTCAGAGCACATGCGCTGGTGACATCAACAGCTGCATGCTGTGTGAACATCTCAAACGGTGCACATTTAGGAGACATTCACTGTACCTACAGGTAACCCTTAATATCGGCTTACCTGTAGGTACAACTTAAAAAGTGGACTTTACATCCCCTTTAAAAAATAAGGCAAAAATGCCTCATACTTGAACTTCAGGTACTAAAGAACTGCTAACAGCACAGATGCTATTCTCTAATTGAAAAGGACAAAAATATTTTTAAGGGATAAGTTTACCTTTGGAACATGTTATATGTTCCACCCATTTTTAGGGTGGAACCTGTAACATATGTACAGTATCGGCTGCTTCTTCCCTCCAATCCCATTTCTCCCTGCATACAGGGGAACTTCTCCCTGCACCCACTGTAACAATCTGAAACCAGTGGAGCCATGCAGGGCTCCTCCCACATGGCCTCATCATTCATTCACAGTTGCCTGTGAAAGAATAGACTACAAGTACTATTAAATATACTTTTTGTGATGAACTTCCCAATAATCCCAATCTATCTCAAAATTTCAATAATCCCACATAATCCAAAAGGTGATGATCAAATCTATACTAAAATAATAATAAATCACCCCTCTAATATATATTCAAAATCATCAAATGTACCAATCAACATTAAATAAATAAAAATAAAATAAAATGTATATAAAAAAAAAATGTCCAAATCACCAAAAATAGTAATAATAATAATAATAAGTGTCCAAATCACCAAAAAGGTATGTAATATAAATAAATAAATGTCCAAAATCCCAAGAAAAACAAAAACATAAAAGTTCTTTATGTGTTCAGTGAAGCAAGACGATTCTCCAAACAATGCCTTGTTATCCTCAAAAATAAAAATAAAAATATATCATAGTGTAATATCCTCAAACATATATATATGCTTCACACAGTGCAAAACTCAAATCACACCAAAAATAGTGAAAAATCAATAAATCAAAAATAAACGTGAGAACTCGTGATCACTCCAATCTCAGGTGAATAGTGATACTAGGTACCAATATCCTATATACTCCAGCCAAAGTAGATGCTAAATACCATTACCCTCTTATGGTATATTCAGGCATATACTGTTAGATAGGAAAGCCATTCCTCCATCATTCTTATCCCGGGGTATTCCTCATATGGACAAAGAGAAGGCTCAATCAGGCAGATTTCATAAAAAGATATAAATTTATTCGACACTTACATGTAAAAATCACTTTATCCAGCTCTCTGTACTGCACATTTCAATCTCTGGTTGAAAAAACGATTGTTTCCAACCGACAAAATGGCCGCGGCGACACTTCCGGTTAGCGTGCGTGATGACGTCACTCCCCTAACGCGTTTCGTCACTTCCGGACTTCCTGAAGGGACTTCAGATGAAGTCCGGAAGTGACGAAACGCGTTAGGAAGTGACGTCATCACGCACGCACGCTAACCGGAAGTGTCGCCGCGGCCATTTTGTCGGTTGGAAACAATCGTTTTTTCAACCAGAGATTGAAATGTGCAGTACAGAGAGCTGGATAAAGTGATTTTTACATGTAAGTGTCGAATAAATTTATATCTTTTTATGAAATCTGCCTGATTGAGCCTTCTCTTTGTCCATATGAGGAATACCCCGGGATAAGAATGATGGAGGAATGGCTTTCCTATCTAACAGTATATGCCTGAATATACCATAAGAGGGTAATGGTATTTAGCATCTACTTTGGCTGGAGTATATAGGATATTGGTACCTAGTATCACTATTCACCTGAGATTGGAGTGATCACGAGTTCTCACGTTTATTTTTGATTTATTGATTTTTCACTATTTTTGGTGTGATTTGAGTTTTGCACTGTGTGAAGCATATATATATGTTTGAGGATATTACACTATGATATATTTTTATTTTTATTTTTGAGGATAACAAGGCATTGTTTGGAGAATCGTCTTGCTTCACTGAACACATAAAGAACTTTTATGTTTTTGTTTTTCTTGGGATTTTGGACATTTATTTATTTATATTACATACCTTTTTGGTGATTTGGACACTTATTATTATTATTACTATTTTTGGTGATTTGGACATTTTTTTATATACATTTTATTTTATTTTTATTTATTTAATGTTGATTGGTACATTTGATGATTTTGAATATATATTAGAGGGGTGATTTATTATTATTTTAGTATAGATTTGATCATCACCTTTTGGATTATGTGGGATTATTGAAATTTTGAGATAGATTGGGATTATTGGGAAGTTCATCACAAAAAGTATATTTAATAGTTTATTCACTTCCTAGGGAGGAGGTAGTGTTTTTTTGTGGCTGTATAGGAGCTTTTTGATAGACTACAAGTACTATCAGCCATTGTGGCTGGCAGCTTGTAGTTCTCAAACTACAGGGTCACTGGTGAGTGCCCTCATAGTCCATTGAGCTTCCTGCACTCAAGTAACTGCCTGCCCAAACAAGGTACAGGCAGACAGCTACTCAGAGTATGCAAAGGCTGACATTGCACCCATGATCTGTGGATCACGGGTGCAATGCTCCACAGGCTCCTTAGAAAAAGAATTTTAAAAATGCACACTATTTTTCCTGCAAAAACATTTCCATTTATTATTTTTCAAGAGGAGAACTTATCCTTTAATCAGAATTCCAGGCTCTGTACAGACCACAATTAGGTGTTTTGCCTGTTAGATGGCAATAATTCTGCCTTGTGATCCAGGAAGCTTGGTAACACAGCATAACCAGCTTTTGTCATCTCTCCATACCAAGTCAGCTTACTGAACAACAATTTAGGCACCATACCTCTGCCCATTGAGTGGAGAGGCCAGGAAACTGTAATGCTACATATAGCTACATAGTTTATAAGGTTGACTAAAGACATCGATCCATCCAGGTGTGTGTGTGTTGCGGGGGAGATCCCCAACCTTACCTCTCTAACAGTAAAGAATCCTTTTTGCAGTTTCAGAATGAACCATTTTTCATCCAACTTCATTGTGTGTCTTTTTTTTTTTTTTTTTTTTTGAGACCCAAGATTAAAAAGTTGCTAGACTTCCCATTTAAAGTGGTTCCCTACATTAAGGTAAAAAACATTTTGCCACTTGCTGTTCACTCCGCAGCCCCCCGCCCCCCCAGGGACTTACCCAAGTCCTGAACAGATCTAGCGCTGTACCCAGCTGCAGTTCTTCTGACCTTTTTCTTCTCACAGGATGTTCATGCAGCCAGGGCCAATGGCTCCTGTTGCTGTAAGTCAAATCTTTGGAACAGAGAGCGGGGATCAGAGCAGAGCAGAGGTGGGCTATTTGTCTATGGACAGCCTGGCTTGGGAACGAGCACAGACATATGCCTCTAAAGCAAACTACTTGCTATGGGGGCAGACACAGAAGAGGAAGAGCCAAGATCGCCAACAGGGGACCCTCTGTGCAATACCATTACCAAGCCAGTGATTTGCTTAAAAAACGTAAGCTGGTCCCCCTAACAGCTACTGTGGTTTCTCCTTTCGACCCCTAGCCAATACAGACATAATAGTGACATACAGGTCGTCATGAGGAACCATAATGCAAGGGACAGGCTAATCTACAAACCCCAAAGTGCAGAATAAGAACATTGCTGAGAGTTGTGCTACAGACTGAAGCTTACGCAAACCAGCCAGTGAACATGTAATTATTAAGTAAATTGTTTCACAGGGTACCATTTTTTTTCAATATAATCTGATACATTGAGATCTTTCAGGAACTTCACAATCCATCACACATCTACTTCTTACCTTAGGGGGATTAAAAGGGTATGTTTCTGGTATTTTGATTTCTAGCTGGTATCGTCCACCTGTAAAATAAAAAGTCATCATTTTACTGACTTCTTAAGTTTGCAAATCTAATCTCACCACAAATCATTTTATTGGGAAGTATAATATTCAGTGCAATCATCAGAAAGCAATGACAAAATGGTGTCCATACATAGAGAAAAGTTGGAAAAACACTGCACGTCTTGAGAACAATGACAGCAGAAAACACTGGGCAACTGACCAGACAAAGAAAAAAAAAAAAAAAAAAAATTACCCACAAAATTAAAATAATCCTTTTTCATGGCCATCTAAAGCCAGCCATACATGGATTGAAATTCGGCCCGTTTAGCATGGACCAGCTTCAATCCATGTATAGGACAACTGGTTGCACACAAGTCGATCTATCAAATCGACTTGGGTACAACCAGCCAGTCAGATTTTTCCTAAATGATCACTGCTATGGATTATAGCTGACAACACTGATCACTGCATTCTGGCAGAATACAATAGCATAGAGGAAGGATTTCCCATCCACACCAAATTTGTGGATGCGGAAAACGGCACATTTCTTTTGTTCAACCCACTGGTTGAATGAAAAAAAATTAATTATGTATTACCTCCTTAAAGACAAACTGCTTTTGAAACTTAAGCAATACATCTCTGCAATATATACACATTTGCCCATGTTTCACACATTGCACAAGTACAGAAAAATCTGTCAGAAATTCACTTAACTCCTAGGTCCTGTCATGGGGCTGACAAGTCACAGCAATTTTGTGGACAAATGTCAGCCCTGCCCAGTGTTTTCTTACCAAACTACTCAGACCCCCCTACTCTCCCATTTCCACAACATAAAGGTTGATCATTCTATAGTCCTAAAATATGGACAGAGAGGGCGAATTACTCTCCTTGAGAAAACAAAGGAAGTGAGCACTGGACAGCTCTGAATTTCTGATATGATCAATTTTTTTTTCAATTCATCGAACAAAGAAACAAAATGCTTTTAATGGTTTATTTAACAGTCCAAAAGGGAACAAAAATCAGAAGTTTGGGTTTGCATACATTTGAAAGTTTCTCATTTTAAAGTAAGCCGGTAACAACCTCTGACAATACAAACACAGCATGGAAAAATACATAACAAAATGTTACCTTCAGCCTAAGTTCACACTATGAACCACATGCGAATCGCACAGGAATCACACTGCATTACTGTGAAAATCACATGCAATTCTGTGTGCTGCGATTTCAGTCCTTTTATTTTGGATGACTCAAATCGTTCCACATCAAAAATGTGTGGGCAGTTTTTAGTTCGCACTGGAACTGGATCACATGTTTATACCCAAGTGATCCAGTTCAAGCAAAACGCACTGCGACCTACTTTTGGGGTTTAGTTAACTTTCCACTGATACCTGCAGCAGATTATAGTACAATGTGCGATTGCGATGCAGTGTGGGATACGCACAGAATTCGCTATGTTTTCCACACCGCATCAGTGTCAACTGGGCCTCAATGAAAAATATAAAGCAAAATGGTCAAAAGATCCAAAATAGTTATCTAAAACAAATCTGACATGAAATTCAGCCTCACACATCAACAGGAAGTTTAAGGAGGTGAAGCCAAGCGCACCATTACAAAGAAATGCAAGAATCGCATGATATTTTCTTAATATTGGAGATCCAAGATGTTTTTCATGGTTTCTGTCTGAATTGCCCAAGTTCGTGCTGGGCTCATTTAAATTCATTTTATCCCTAAAGGTCTACTTAAAAAGCAGAGAAAGCGACTTTCCCCAAACATTCTACGCTGGAGAATCACTCACTGTCATTTAAAAACAAATGATCTGGACGATTCACACCTGCAGGAAATATCTCTGCTTAAAAGGCCTCGGAGCGTTCCCAACAAATTTCTGAAATCAGCACAGATTTCTTCTCTAAGCTATAAACACTAGGGCATCTACTACTGAGCAAGCTGACATCTCTCCAAATGCATTCACTATTACCAGCATATGTAAAGGTATAGATGGATTTTGCTATAGGCCAATTTTGTTTCATGCATTACTTGTTTGTGTATACCCAAGAACGTGCTGTGGGCATAACTGTATGGTTAGATCTGTGAACACAGACTGCATTAACCTCCTGTTTTAAGTCAATTATAATAATATAAAAAAAAAAAAAAAATCAAACAAATTCTCATAAAGCCTGCTGCAAGCTTTTTACATCCAGTTTCAATAAAAATTAATAGGTTATTGGCAAAAGGGGCTTATATAGGCTGCTCCTTTCTCACTGTCCCTTGTAGTTACTGATTGGGAAATAAAAGTGAATGCATTTCTACACATTGCCATCGACAATAATCTAGGATCGAAACAAGGTGTACCTGAGAACAGAAGTCACTGTGATAGGTCAGGAGAAGAAGGCATCAGCCGGTAAAAAAAAAAAAGTAAACCATCTTAAGTAGGATGACCAGGCAATGCTGTAAAATGGGTATTTGATGAATGTTTTAAGCATACCTTTCCATTCATAGTAAAGATGTTATACTATATATGGCTTGTCCTAATTTAGGCTCCAGATTCTGCAGTTTATTTTTTTTAAGTATAGTGGGGTGTTGGCTGCCAAGTTTTTGTTGTTGTTTGCATTCTTGTAAGAGAGATTTCTATACTTCCTATCTTGCTAGCAAGACAGCGAGATCAAAATCTTCCAAATGTGGACACAGCAAAAAAACTTGGAGAACTAATCCTTTTCCACTCTAAACAAAAACTAACAAAGTTTTGCTTGAAGTTTTATTTTAATCATGATAGTTTAATAGAGGTTGCCGATTTAAAGTGATAAACAATGGTATGACTGCTGTGGACAGAAGGACAGAATTCTGTACCTCAAAAGTGAAGAAGAGACAGGGGTCAATAATGAAGACAAAGTTTGTTCTTTTCAGACTAAGAAGGAAATATACACATGGTGTACCACACGGTGCATACAGGGTACCAGAATATCTTTCACCGCAGTCTAGTAGGTACATTCATTGGTCACAACGCTGCAATTTAAAATCGCACGATTTGTGTGCAATTTCAGCACGATTTCTGAAGACTTTATTGCTACTTTTGAAGATTTTCAACAACTTCTTGCAATTTTCAGTGCGATTTCCATTATATTCTATGTATGTAAAATCAAAACAAAACTGCAGAAAAAGTAATGCAAGAACTACTTTAGAAACTGCGCTGCAGCAAATCACGTTAAGACACTGACATTCACATTAATAAGATGCAATTTCATTTAGCAAATTGCATTGGTATGACTGGGCACAGTGTACAACTATATTTACATAACAATACAGGAGATAATTTACTGTTAGGCTATGCTGCCGCCTACAAAAAGGACTGAACAGCAGCAAAAAATACTGGACAGTATAGGACTTTCTGTGTCGCTCAATATTTGAGAAAGACATATAAAGTCCAACTCTGGGAACTGCAAAAAAAAAAAAGGAAAGAAAAAACAAAACAAAAAAAAAGACATACATTTTCAACTGGTGCACAGTAAAGGCCTGTTCACACTGCCCAAGAGAGCTGTCGCACACTAAACCGCAGCAGTTTAGTGTGCAACAGCTGTCTGTTTAGGCTGCAGTAAGCTGGCGGTAGAGGGCTGTTTTATTTGTGTCCTTGCGTTCCTTCAGTGCGGTAAAATGCAGGACCTAAAGATTAATAAGCAGTTTATTGGAAGTGGCTGGAAAAATGTTAATGCACAATGAAAGTCAAGTGGAAACTCAAGAATTTGTAAGTACCATGGATTGACACAGCAGAATAAAAGGTTAAAACTTAACTCAACGTTTAATGTTCCTTTGAATTGTTCATTTGGGCCAAGCTGGCCCAAAACAAACTATTTACTGCAGGTTTGCCCAAACAAACTATTACAAAGAAAAATGAATTTTGAGATCAATTTTATTGTGCAGGACTGTGGGGTGCATAGTAAAGGGTTACTGAATAGGAGGAACATATTAAAAGGGTAATGTGTGACACTATGCTTAGTTAAAGTGATATTAAAGGCAATTTTTTTAAAAACAACAAACATGTCATTACCTGCGCTGTGCAGTGGTTTTGTAAAGAGCAGCCCTGATCCTCCTCTTCTCAGGACCCCCGCTAGCGCTCCTGGCCCTGCTCTCCTGCCTATTGCCTCCAGAGCCAACAGCTTGCTATGGGGGCACCCAATCAGGTTTGCTCCTCAGCCATTGCTGTGTCCATCTACACACAAAGCTGCAGCTTGGCATAGTCCACTCTCTCTCCTCATTGGCTCACTGCCTGTGATTGATAACAGCAGGAGCCAATGGCTGCCACTGCGGTCTCAGCCAACGAGGAGGGAGAGTCCCTGGAGAGCCGAGGCTCTTGTGCACATCGCTGGATCGCAATGGGGGGGTTGCTGCATACAGGTGGGTTTTTTTAACTTCATGCATAAAATGCATGAAGGTAAAAAAACCTGAGCCTTTACAACTTTTAGTGTGACCGGGAAGTGTGCTGCAATCTGAAATTGAGTGGACTCAAATGAGAGCACAAAAACCTGACTGAGATTATATTGGATATAATGTAGTGAACTTATATAGTATGATTGTTGTGTGTTTTTTATGACTCCTCCATTGTTATCTTTATTTGTGAAATCAAAAATTATTAATAATGAAAGAGATTATACTGCTACAGAATACATCACGCTGCTTTCCAACTATACTAATAAGACCAGAAATTTGAAGAACCAGATGAATGACATCATCGTTGTCCACAAAGGATCAGCTAAATAAAAACACAATGAATCATACAGTTATCCAGATAGATATAATATAAAATGTTAAAGACTGAGCTAACTGTCCCTAGTTTGATCTCTAACAAGCCACAAAGGTAAATTATGTAATTCACCAGAGAGAAACCCAAGCCCATGTAATAAACGAAAAATATTTAAATTAAAAACAAGTAATTTTTGTGAGTTAAGAGCAAGCATTTATAAAATCACATTAAATATCACATTATTCCCCATCCCGTGAAGAAGTTTACAAAAACAGAAGGATAATACAATCTGATCCTTAATATTCTAAACATAAAAGTTTAAACCAAAGGACAGTTCTTACCTTCATATGGAGTATCGGGAGGGCCAGCAATTTCACCTCTCAGTTCAGAGAAATTCTCATCTACTAGGTCTACTTTGATTTGGTTTTTGCTAGTCTAAGAAAAAAACAAAAAAAATTATTAGAAAATAAATGATTTGTGTGCAAATCTAAAAAGTAGTTTTAGGAGGACACAGTAAATGCTGGTTTACTAAAGGAGTTGAGAATGTTCACACAATTGTACAATCGGCTGAAAATCAAAATTCCCATATTCATGTGTCATCTACACATTACTGGATAACTGAAGTGACCATTCATGCAATTTATTGTGTGAACATTCTCAGTTCCTTTAAGTCTTTCACATGGGCAGCCACACACCTAAAGCCTACCATTCAGACAGAGAGGGCTGTTCACATGCCACAGCCGTAACTGTGCATCGCATCAAACGTAATGTTGACTTGACAAGTGTCATCGTCTGTCAAACTCACCCATCCAAGTCCAAATGCTCACGTTTGCAATTTCGATCACCTCCTGAACGCCTGACAGCGCCTGCTTAGCTATGCTCTGAAAAGTGATCTACCACAAATCACTTTTCAGAGAATATACAGGTGTGAACTTCACCTTAGTATGTCTGAATATCTTTAGTCATCTTCTAAAAGGAGGAAATCCTTTCTACTATGAAAATGTTCTCAGACTCTAGTCAGGAAGATCAATATATAAGCCTTTTATCCACCAAGATCTATAGATATCAAGGTAAAATCCATAGTGGCTTTCTAGTAGACTTGCAAAAGAAATAGGTAATCAGTGCCAAGAAAAACACCCCAAAACAAATAACATGGAAAAAAAAAAAAAAAAAAAAAACTATATACACTCACCGGCCACTTTATTAGGTACACCTTGCTAGTGCCAAGACAAAATCCCCCACACAATACATCACCATCCTGAACCGTTCATACAAGGTAGGATGGATCCATGCTTTCATGTTCTTTTACGGCAAATTCTACCATCTGAACATTGCAGCAACAAGTCTGCTCATTCTCCTTTGACATCAACAAGGCATTTTCATCCACACAACTGCCGCTCACTGGATATTTTTTCTTTTTTGGACCATTCTCTGTAAATCCTAGAGATGGTTGTGTGTGAAAATCCCAGTAGATCAGCAGTTTTTTTAAATACTCAGACAAGCCTGTCTGGCATCAACAACCATACCACATTCTAAGTCACTTATATCCTCTTTCTTCCCCATTCTGATGATCGGTTTGAACTTCAGAAAGTTGTCTTCACCATGTCTAGATGCCTAAATGCATTGAGTTGCTGCCATGTGATTGGCTGATTAGCAATTTGTGTTACCAAGCAATTGAACAGGTGCACCTAAAAGTGACCGGTGAGTGTATATGATCACTGATGGAATTCTACATGAGCTACCAATATATACAGCAGGTATGAGATCAATTGCATGGGAGGCTTAGGTTCTTTTGCAACTAGTCACTAGAACAACCAAGCCTACAAATATCAAGAAATCGGTAATATTTCAGAACATTTAATGAATCAATAAGTAGAAAAAATAAGTTTGACAAAGCTTTCTTTAGGCATTAAAATTGGTTCTGGTGATTTTGTCTCATTGCCTCAATGGGATTCCCATTCAGTTGCTGCCAGATCCTTCCAAACCTATGCTCAAAGCCTATGTCAAGCCCTGAAACCAGTTTTCAGGTTGTTGAAACAAAGGGATATTAAATACCACTAAATATTCCATGGTCAGCTGTTAGTGGTATTATAACAATGTGGAAGCAACTGGGAACAACAGCAACTTAGCCAACAAGTGGTAGGCCACATAAAATGCCATAGCGGGGTCAGAGAATGCTGAAGCGCACAGTGTGCAGAAGTCGCCAACTGTCTGCAGCGTCAATAGCTAAAGACCTCCAAACTTTGTGTTGTCTTCAGATTAGCACAAAAAAAATGTGTAGAGAGTTTCATGAAATGGGTTTCCATGGCCAAGCAGCTGTATCCAAGCCTTATGTCACCAAGTGCAATGCAAAGTGTCAGATGCAGTAGTGTAAAGCACACCGCCACTGGACTCTAGAGCAGTGGAGATGTGTTCTCTGGAGTGATGAATCATGCTTCTCTGTCTGGTAATTCGATGGACATGTCTGGGTTTGGCGGTTGCCAGGAGAACGGTACTTAGCTGACCGCATTGTGCCAAGTGTAAAGTTTGATGGGGGGGGGGGGGGAATTATGGTGTGGGGGTTGTTTTTCAGGGATTGGGCTTGTCCCCTTAGTTCCAGTGAAGGGAACTCTTAAGGTATCAGCATACCAAGACATTTCAGACAATTTCATGCTCCCAACTTTGTGGGAACAGTTTGGTGATGGCAGTTTCCTGTTCCAACATGACTGCGCACCAGTGCACAAAGCAAGGTCCATAAAGACATGGAAGAGCAAGTTTGGGGTGGAGGAACTTGACTGGCCTGCACAGAGTCCTGACCTCAACCCGACAGAACATCTTTGGGATGAATTAGAACGAAGACTGTGAGCCAGGCCTATTCGTCCAACATCAGTGCCTGACCTCACAAATGCGCTTCAGGAAGAATGGTCAAATATTCCCATAGATAAACTCCTAAACCTTGTGGAAAGCCTTCCCAGAAGAGTTGAAGCTGTTATAGCGGCAAAAGGGTGGGCCAACTCAATATTGTACCCTACGGACTAAGATTGAGATGCCATTCAAGTTCATGCACGTGTAAAGGCAGGCATCCCAATACTTTTGGCAATACAGTGTATTTTTCATACCCTTTAATTGAATGGTCTACAATGGTTCTCAAAATTTGTTCATCTAGTTGTTTCAACATACCTGAGAAAATGTAAAAACTTCTGTATTACCTACACAAAGGCTGATGTGCTATCAATAGTCATCACAATCTGCATAATAACACACATCAATAATAATGTAAGCATTACAGCAGGAGACACACATCTTTTAACAGCATAAAATTAATACATTACCAAAGCTATGGAAAGATGGGAAGGAGACCCCATTGGAACAGTGCACAGGGGATCGCGGAGAAGCCTTAAAAACACGACCAATCGATGAGCCCATATAGCCTTAGCAAGAATCCCAGCATCAGAGCATCCCCTTTTGCACAGGAAGGCTCCTAAGGCTCACTGTGTGCAAGCTTCCTTTTAAATATCCTGTGAACCACTTCTGGCAGCTTTCCTGAAATGGGCGGGTGCCACGCCCACTCCAGGAGGAGCCCGCAGAAAAGTCCCCTGAGGATGACAGAGTCACGCCCAGCCACAATACTGGACAACAACGTCTTATCTCGTAATATCACACTTTTGCCACAAATCAGCTTCTTATCTAGCCTTAACTTAAAGATTTCTAACTTCTCAAACAAGTAAACATTTTTAAATGCACAAACAAGATCTTATCTAATTTAGATAAGAAGTCTAATGTAACATTTCTAAATGTCACAAAACACGGTCAATCCCACAAACACTTCTTATCTGCTTTAAGCAGTCTAATGTCTTATGACTCTGTTCCTTTAGCCTAGAGAAATGACATCAATGTCATTTCTCGTGCTTCTGGCATATGGGCAACGAAGCTTTATTGTAAAAATTCCCCAAGAAACAAAGGGTCCAAGGCCAACACATTTCATAGGCATTACACAAACAAATTTAGTTTGGTCTCCCTGCGTTCTCCCAGCTTTAAGCTTTTTCTGTGTTGGAGGTGATCTGACCCTCACTCTGGACCCCACCAATACGTCTGGCAAGTCCCCTCTAATGCAGCATTGAATAGACTCAAAAGATGCCCATCACACCTCGAGTACCTGTGACGTGCAGCATCTACTGAACCCACATCACAAAGGCTACAGTTTCTAATCTTCCACCACATACAGTAGGCTGGACAACATTTTCATCTTTCCAATCCTTTCATGTCTACTTTACATTTTCAACGCCATCTATATTAAACCAAGTATACTCTTTGCTTAAAGTGGTTCTAAAGGCTTGTTTGTTTGTATTTTTCTTTAAAATAATAAAATACATCATACTGACCTGCTCTATGCAATGGTTTTGCACAGAGTAGCCCCAATCTTCCTCCTGTCGGATCCCACACTGGCAGTTCTGGCCTCTCCTCCTTGCCGAGTGCTTGCTCCTCGGCCGGCTGTGTGTGTCAATGGGACATGCAGAGCACGGCTCACATCCGATTCCATTCCCGCTGCCGTGTCTCAGCCAATGAGGAGAGAGACCTGAGAGACCCTCTGCTCTAGTGCACATCGCTGGATCGAGAGCGGGCTCAGGTAAGTATTAGGGGGGTTGCAGGGGTAGCTCCACAATGAAGGTTTTTTTTTTTTTTTTTTTAACGATGCATAGAATGCATGAAGGTACAAAACCTTCAGCCTTCCAAACCACTTTAACCTCCCTAGCGGTATTCCCGAGTGTAGCTCGGGGTAAGGTTTTAGTACCAAAAGCGGTAACCCTGAGCTACACTCGGGCTTACCATGCGGCGCTGCATAGGGATTCCCTGCAGTGCTTACCTTGTCCTTCGCTCCCGCGATGCGTCCCCTGCAATCTCCTCCGCTTTCCGTGTTCCGGTCCCTGCAAGCGTCGGAACGTACGGGGGACAGAACGGCGGGAAATTTAACAATTTTTTTAAACTGTCATTTTCTTAGAAATGAATTTGACATAGTAAACCATTACTGTTTCAAACCATTTCACATATATTTTGTCCCGAGTGCTTTGTCCTGTGCCCTGCCTGCATTTTGACTGTTCTTTCTGCCTGGAAACATAGAAAAGTCCATGGCATCCAAAAAGCGTCCCTTTTGGTCAAAAGCGGTTTTAGACCAGCTAGAGAACAGCGATAGTAAATCAGAATCACTTGCAGAATTGAGTGATGACTTGTGGGGAAATTCGTCATCAGACACTGAAAACGATTCTGCGACTTTGCTCAGTGATGTGCGAACTTGGCGCTATATTTCAAATTTCAGTGTTTTTGGTTTGATTATATTATTGAATTAAATTTATTATTATTATATAATTTTTATGATTATTTATTAAATTATAATTTATGATTTTGTGTTTTAAATTTTATCATATCCGGGATGTTTACTAGACTCTTGTTCAAACAGA